AAAAATAAACTTAAAACCAACAAAAGGAATCCATCCGACGGGGGACACATCAAAGGGAAAACAAATTTATTTTTATTTAATTCCGAGCATTTTCATATTTATCTACCTTTTAAACCTTCTCTGGACTTCCACAAATAATTCAAGACCAAAATTAGCCAAATCGGTCCAGCCGTTTTCGAGTTTTACCGAGACTAACGAACAGCAATTCATTTTATATATTTATACCTTGAAGAGAAATGATGAGATTGCTTTTCTTTTTCGTATACATGTTGCACAGAGGTAAATTTAAAAAGCTATTCACTTCGCAATACTGCGACTTATATCCCTCATTAATGTGGCGTACGTGTGTGCATGATTTTGGAACATAAATCGCTATATTGGTCAATTTATTTTGTATTATGCTAGGGCTAAAATAAACTTTACGCCATTAAAAATTCATTTAAAGTTACATATCCATTCGAAGTAAACGTTTTATAAGATGTAAACTTGTAAATAACCTAAACCTTGAAACAATAAAACACAAATTGAGATTGTCATCAACTTTACAATTTGCAAAAGTGATGTCACAAACGCTGAACTAATAATCTGAATTTAGATGTGATTGTAACCGGTTCTCGGGATTTCTTTATAGAGAGTCTTGCAACTCTGGGCTCTTGCGGTTCCCGATAATATAAATAAGGGGTAACCTACATTACGAATCGGGTTTTGTAAATCGGTCGTGCGCACTTTCTGGCTCGGTAAACGTACTGAACTATATCGCATTGTATTGGTTTTCGAATGCGTTATTTATGCCTTTGATGTTTTATTTATTTCTCTTGGCACTTTCAATTTTTCAAGTCGTTTTAAGATCAACAATGCCTTTGGTTTCTTTCTGATTAATGTTTTGATCGGAAAACGTTTGTAAATATTTGATTTTCATTTTTAACACGAACGAATTTATATTAAAATATAAAGAACAAAATACCCGTGAACGCAAAGAATACGAGTCAGTTTTTATAGGAGGATAAGACCAAAAATTTTTATTGCACTAGATGGGTGCTATTGAAGTTCATAGACATCATAACGTGAATGTTACCACTCACCTTGAGGATGAGACCTCTTCTAAGCGTCTCTATTTTATTGTATAATTGATATTTCGCCCTTGAAACCGGAATGAATAAATGTTTTGCTATAGAAATAAACAGAAAGTTGGTACCTGCCTTAATGGGCTTAAAATACCTCCAATACATATAAAAATTATCGTATATTGGTTCCTCTTTAACGATTAACCAACATTAGTCTTTCTCATGTCCTTGTTTTTTTCCTGACTCATTCCGTTCAAAGAAGCGATGCACCGAATATTTTATTTAAACTATACTTTATTTAGAACTTAATGTTCTTGTTTTGTTATCTGTACTGGTATCGAGTACAAAAACAATTGTCGTAACCGGTGTCGCATTGCTCAAACACTCGTGCGCACATTTACGAAACTAACTTGTCACATTTGCAATTCTCTAGACGTTCAGCGATTACAATCCTTTCACTGGACCACCGGCCAGTCTTATCCTGTTCCGAGAAAAGGACTAAGGAAACGCGACCTGTAATGAACTTCACAATGGTGCGAGACTTCACTGTCTATGTTAATTGTTGCCTTTGTTTGAATACCCAAGTCAATGAACTTTTAACATGCGCTTCTTTGAACTTTCTACATGCCGAATACAGATATGGTTTTTTATATAAGTAAACGTAAGAAATTGACTTTCTTTGTAACGCTAGCGATACTCAGCTTAATTCGTGTTTAAATGCTTAAAAAGAAAAACATGTTCTAGATTTATGTAGGGAATTAGGCGCCGCGATTTATTTTATCGCGTTTTTATTTACACAATCCGTGATTACAATTTAAATGTTTGTCTACGGCTTTCTGGCTGTATAACGTCACAGTATTTATTGTTTGATTACAAATGTGTCGAAGTCTGATTTTAATTTCTTACCGATTTTTCTGGCAGTCTGCAGCAGTGACCCTTGCTAGGGCTAGTGTTAGGAAGTCCTCCCAGCTTAAGCCTCTAGACCTCTTCTACCAGTTCACCCGTAGTAGTAGGTTGAAACAATCATTACACAATCTAATTGAAATTTCAACAACACGCCCTAAAACGTTTGGTATTCACGCTGTGACATCTATCAATTTACAAGCTTTAAGCATATACATAGTTCATCTACTCATTTTTTTTTAAACCAGGGTAATGTGACCTAGTGCCTACCTGTGCGGGCTTATTATACGTCCTACTACCAGGAAAAGCCACTGAAACAAATTAAGTATGGAAGATACTGTGGACGTAGTAGAAGTTACTCGAAATAGTTGAGGTCCTTCAAAAGAGCTATTAGACTCATCTCAGCCTGTCCATTGCTAAACATAGGCCTTTCCAATTGATGTCCGGTGCGGTCGGTACGTTGCCACCGGTGTCCAACTTGACTCAGCGATTCTCACTAAGTCGTCGGTCCATCTGGTAGGTGGCCGTCCCAAACTGCGCTTGCTAGTACGTGGTCTCCACTCAAGAATCTTTCTCCCCATCGGCCATCAGATCTTCGCGCTATGTGGCTTTCCCACTGCTACTTCAGTTTGCTAATCCTAAGGGTATATCAGCAACTTTGGTTCTTCTACGGATCTCCCTTCCTCCTTGATACGGTCTCATAGAAAAATACCACGCATAGCCCTCTCAATAGCTCGCTGCGCGACACTAAGCCTCGTAAAAAGATCTTTTGTGAAGCATCACATTCCGGAACCGTAAGTCATCACTGGTAACACGCATTGGTTTTACACTTTTGTCATAAGGCACTGAGGGATTTTGGAGGAGAAGGAGAACACATTTTTTAATTTACCAAAATTACTATTAGGCTATTATATAAAAATAGTTAATCCTGAATTCCAAACTATCCAATTCGAATTCCAACATTACATGGAGAACTGGAATTTGTTATTTTACATTAAATTAACTACAAATGGAACCACTCATTAAGAATTACAATCAACTAGTATTAGAATTATTAAGTACAAATTAATAGCTCGACATACTTTAAATATCAATTATAGGTACTTATAGGTACTATAAGTAACTTATAATCGTGTAACAAGAGTTTTCGTAACAATGCGTACGAGTTTGGTCTTGCTGCTTTGTTGGACTTTGGCTTATCAGGGATTTAATTAAGACCACACGTTTGTCCGCTCGTATTGCATCACTAAAACGATGAGTGTCATATGGCTAATATTTCTAGAACCGAGGTAGGGAAATCATAAACATCGGAGCGTCTAAAGATCTGTGTGTGCGTTAAGGTCTACTACGGTAGTGGTAATTATGCTGTATAGTCAACATTTTGTTTTCATTATATTTCTAAATGATTAATTGTTTTTGGCGTCAACAAAATTCACTGCATTGTTAATAGATTTTGTATTAGTCATTCTTTCATGCGTTTGAAAAAAATTTAAGTTAATCGCATCATAAGCGGGGCAATTTCAAATCGCACGTCGGTGAGAATAAACAAGGTCCATGGATTTCATTAAGTGATTTCTTACTCATTAGTTACTGGCGTATATAAATAAGTGTATATAAATATGTAATGGTTCAGTAAATATAAATTATGGAAATAAACCAAATGAAATCGAGCAGCAAAGATTAACAGTGTATAGTTGTATCATTAACGTTTATTGCTAGAGTATTGCTTCAGAAAGATAACAAACATACAAAGAAACATTATTCTCTTTATGAATCACGCAAAAGAAGTTACTTTTGAAAATTAATGCTAAAAAGCTCCGAGAGTCGATGGGATTTGTACAGTTTTTGGGTTAAGCCAGTAATTTTTTTTCATAAAAGTCGTGGATCATAGCCGCTAACCTATCACTCGTCCGTAGTAATGAAGAAGATCATGTTTATCTATAGCACTGAGGTTGTGTCGGCATAGGCCCCCGTTTTAGATTTTACTTCGCGAAATATTCATTGATTGTTTGTTGCTTGAGATACAGGTTTTATTACCTAGTTCAAGCACAAATGCAAATCAGGATTGTGTTTCTACTTCTATGTTAAGAATAAATAAATAACTAAATAAATAAATAAAAATTGATTTACAACTTGAAGGGTTAGCGATTGTGACGTAAAATAATGAATAAACCTGCTAAATCAAATCAACCTGTTTGCTAAATCAAAATCACATAAATAATGATTATTCAAGACTAACACAAAATTATAAAGTTCACCCAAAATTGACAAAATTATTTATTTCTCAATGTATCATCATTTATCAGTAGGGTATTTGAATAGTATTTTTTTAAATTAAAATCTCAATTTCCCGCCCCACAGCAAGATCGCCCGCTCAACCATAGCCCGCCAGGAACGCATTCTTTCAGTGGTCGGATAATAGTCATATTTTCCTAGAAATGAGGCGCTGACCTCGCTGCAAAGTACAAAGTATAATTGAAATTGATAGCTCTATTTCATGTCGCAAGGTAGTTGGGGGTGATCACGCTACTGTATGTATTGTAAAACCACGAGTAACCCCCACTCTTTACTAGGTTTGTGTGTGTTAAATTTAGAAATTTAAAAAATGTAACACGACAGTATTTTAGGGCAAAAAGTAGGTTAAATCACTCCACCGAACAAACTATCTATTCGTAAAAATTCGCTTGTCGATCCGTTGGTCTATTGCCGGGGGTAAAAAAGAAGTTCTAGCAAGTATGCAAATAGCACACTGTACCGCTTTTGTAATATTTAAAAATAAAAATTACATTACTAAAAAGAGACGTCCAAAATTTAATGCATTATGTAAAACCAATTCAGTACCGGCATGCGGCATCACAAATCGAAGTATCCAAAAGTATTTGGTAACAAAGCAAAATCCGCTCTATACGGATTTAGTTTTACAATTCAAACTCCAGATTGTTCGCTTTCTACAGCAACGTAACATTATGGCGGGTTTATTGATGTAATTACGTCATTGAATAACGAAATTAACGTTCTTTTATTTTTTTACAGTGTACCGATCTTCAAGAACTTCCCCGAAGATACGTTGATTAAAATCTCCGATGTGTTGGAAGAGACTCATTACCAGAATGGAGACTATATTATTAGACAGGGTGCGAGAGGTGACACGTTCTTCATCATATCGAAAGGACAGGTAACTACTGTTTTTATTCGTCATCTTTGTCATCTTCGATTTGACTTTTTTATCGGGTGATCAACCACATAACTCAATAGAGTGGACTTAAATCTATCAACATAAAAATGCTAAGTAATTAATTAATTAATGCGTCCAATCATTCCCAGTACCCAAAAAGAGAAAATATCCAATGTTCACCTAACTACAAAGATTTTTGTAACTAAAATCATTGTTATTGATATGCTAAATTTAAATAATTTAAACAAATTTGTAGATTATTTTGGTCGAGCATAGGTGTTTATGGTGATGTTTAGACATGAAAGTCTATAATTAATGTATTTTATTAGCGATAAAATGAACCTCTTAAACACACGAAAAAATTAGAAATCGGTATTTAGCAAAGAATTAGCAAGTTAAAGTGGCAGTGGGTAGGATACAGCGTACATCAGATGGACGATGAGACTCTAAAGGTAAATGATGGATACCTATAGATAAGAGGCAGAGATGATCTCGCAATTCGAGTGCTTAAAATTTGCTTAAATGAATGAGGAATGCCTATATTTAGCAATTGACATCGAAAGGAAAGATAGGGAAGAGAGCACATTATTATGAACACAAACATAATTTTATTTCATCATTTAAAGTATAATATCAATCAATATAGAGTTCAATAAAGAAAATCAAATTTACCTTGAAGTACAACTTAGCTCCATTGTTATCGGCTAATTGATAAGCTAATACCCCATTTATGGGCGGTATGTCATTTTATATTATTTTCTTGTGGTACATTACAATGAAACCCTAATAAACATAATACAACAATATTTTCTCATTCACATACACGAACGTTTCGATTAAAAATACAATTAAAATGTAGCCACAACCGCATGCCGACTTTCTAATTTTGTGGTTTAAACATCACTTTTTAAGCACTCAAGACGTGTTGTGCTAATAATGACGTTTGTCATCAGCTTAAGCGTTCCAAGTACGACATTTACTTATTTATTTCAATGACGTCGCACTCACTAGAAATTATTCCGTTTCATACGAAGATGTTCTCTAATCAGTTTAGAGTTTCACTTTCGTTGGGTTCAACTTTCGAGACATCACGCTAGTCGAAGGAACGTGTCTTCTGTACCCTTGACCACACCTCAGTGAGATGTTTTGTAAATATAATTCGTGGATGGTTTATAATTTGAAATTTTCTTTATCTGTCTTCATCGCATTTCGGCTTTCCAACCATTTAATACATAACAAATTAAATCGTCTCTTTTTTATAATACTTTCCGCTCTTATACTCATTGTTATGATCTAGCTGTTGACGTGTTTGAGAATTTTCACAAACCGCATTATAATAATAATTATCTACACGACATTTTGTATAGACGCGGTGACTGTACAAGAGGTTCACCTTGGCATTTAATGTCTGCAAGCTGTGATTGTTGCTTTTGACCAATGTAAATTGTATGCGTTTGTTAACTCAACACATTTCGATATAACTAAATTACCTAAATACAGCTCTAATGGAAAAATGCGTAGAATAAAGTGCGCGAGTTTTGAAAGACCTGTTGTTTTGGTGGATCTTAATAAAAAAAATATTCCTTCGGTGCGTTGCATCACTGGTACTGGTAACACAACATTCTAATTTGGTAATGTCATAATTAAAATGTGACTTTAGAATACATAATATGGAAGTTAGAGGCCAGAAACGCAGGCTATTGTGACTACAAGGTCAGCGCACTGACTGCGGGCGAGAGGGTTATGCGCACGGTATTTTGAGGCCGGATTTTTATATTACACTGTGGGAAATTATGTTTTATCTTTTACTGAAAGATGTTTTAATGTTTGAACTATTTTGTTTGGACATTCCTTTGCCAAAGAGCTTATTTAGAACATTTTAGGATAAAGTTTAGCGTAACGATATTTAGTGAAGATTTTTTTCTGTGTATGCAAGGAATTGAAACTTGATCGATATATTTCTACCTTCACTGATATTTTTGGTGATTTTATTTAAATCTAGAATATTTGAGCATACAAGTTTTATATTTTTGTCTTTTGAAATGCAAATTTTTCGTTCATCGCCAAAACAATACTTATTCTATTAAATAAAAATTTATGTTAAAGTGTTGCTTAGTTACTAATCTATGGATACGTTTATTAGATTTAGTTGAAACTCTGTAAATTGTAGGCACTTGATGCAAGACTACCAACATTGTGCGACAAAAATTTTATGAAAAAAAAAGTGTATTTTTAAGCGATAAACGCAGCATATCAGCCCGCTGAGTTTCTCACCGGATCTTCTCAGCAGGTCGCGATTCCGATCCGGTAGTAGATTCATTTGCGAAGCAGCTACTCTTAAGTTGTTAGGTCTCCTTTTTTTTTTTTTTTTTTTTTNTCTCGGACCTGAGCGGTTCTATTGAACACAGGTGGCGATGCGGCACGATTACTGCAGGACAAAGAAAAATCACAACAAAACGGAAATAACAAAAAGAAACAAAACAATTAAACACTTCCAGGAAGACAGTTTGTCGGCAGATGTACCACGAACACAGAAATAACAAAAGGAAACAAAACAAATAAAAACTTCCAGGAAGAGCACTTAGTTGGCAGATGTACCACGAACACAGGCCGCGCGAACAATGGCCGGGCTAACAAAAGCCGGGCGAACAAAGGCCGGGCGATCGAGTGGTCGATGAGCACGTCCGCGCGTGACGGGTGCCTCTATCGGAATGAGTTAGGTCTCCTTTGGAGGCGCTCGGGTAGCTGTTAGCAAATTCCACCCCTCTAGGCTGAGCCCTTGCTCGCCCACCTGCCCTGGTAAAAATGGAAAGGCCTCCGGGCCACCAGTAATCTCTCAAACATAAAAAAAGTATCACGGTTTGCCTAGTAATAATTACTTAACATTAATTACTCAATTAAAGCAAATGTGACATTTAAAACTACATACTATTTATAGAAATAACATGACATCATGCCGATCAAAAGTGTACGTGACCAAATCGATTCATTTTGCTCAAATATGAAGGAAAACAACATTGTATTGTAAAATACATTTAAATGTTTTTTCGTCACTTTGTCTTATTGTTCAGAGAAATATAAACTTCAAACGTCTCCTTGCCATGAAGTAATCGCACTGTTCATTCAAACTCTGCGGTAATGACACAATCGTTACGAAAACTATTATTTCTCTATGCCGTGAGTAATCATTTTGAAACCCGTATATATAAATGATTTAACGACTTCGTCTTACTTCTTGTTGTTTCTCTAGCCCGCTGACATGGTCTCTCTAGGTCTAGACCATCAGCTTAGGTTGGGGAAAAAAAATTTTTTTTGTTTCCCATCTAAATTATTGTTTTTGTCTTTAGGACTTTTTTGATCGCCAATTTGGTCGAGAAGCGTAGGGCCTTACTGTGAGAATACTATGAAGAGAATGCTTAGTGTGAGAGGAAATATTTGCCTTGGAAAAAATGGCCGAACTTGCTGATGATACTTTAATCGGGAACGAGCGTTAGCTTCGGATTAGATGGTGTATGAAATTTCCTTATAGACAGACACATTCCAAATTTTAAGCCTCAGAGAGTCTTAAGAGAGAATTTTAAGAGAGCCAAAGACAATATCAAAACCTAGCCCATAGAAATAAATCTCAATTGCTTTTTGAAATAGCTGATGTCATGTCCTTAAAACGTGAAGTATGACTTTTTTAAGAAGTAATGAGCTAAAGAAAGCGAGATTTTTGTGGAGGTAATTTTCGATTATTTTCCCATCTGTTGTACTTGGTACTTCTAGGGAATACTAATATGTTCACAATTAATTTGAAATAAGGAGAAAAATGACTAAACCTTTTGTAATGGAAACGAATTTATTTATGGAAAGCACATAATTTATCCTTTTTACACGCTTTATATTAGCTTGAATTGTATGTATGTTTGTATGTTTGTAACTGACTCCTTTAGACGCGATTTTAACCCACTTTAAACGGTCAGATTTCATTCAAACTTTGTAGACTATCGAGGGCCGATAACAATACACTAATTTGAGAAGATTATTCCATTATTCAATTTGCAAAATAAGATGTTTGCCAATTTATATAATTTTTATCTATAGTCGATAAGGCAGGAATTGATGTTAAAGTATTTAATAGTTTTAAAAACACGCTTTATAAAAAATTCAACAAAAAAATAGAAAATAAATTTTAATAAATTTAAATGTTGAATTTAATATAAAATAGTTGATTTTTTACAAAGCGTGTTTTTTATTTTAGTTTTTTATACTATTATTTATTTTAATACCACAGGCCACTAATTTTATGATCTATTATTTGTATCGAATAAATTAGTCACATTTAGTTTTCCAAGAAAACAAATCCACCATTTGAAACGTCGTCCAACTGTAACAAAGTTACCGTTTAGTAGTTTTTGTGAAATTATTTAGATCACTCCGCCTCTAGCTTCTACGTTTTCAAGGTGTATTATTATCTCATTCATTTCCGTCGTTATATCAGAAAGGTTTTTTTTTACCCGTTTTTTGATTTACATTCGTTAAGCCGGTTTTTGTTTAGGACCGTTTTGATGAGAATAAGAATGGATTCAGTGATGTGATAATTTTTTTGTACTAAGAGTAATTGGTGGTAGGGCGTATTAGGCCCGGGTGGATATACAGATAATGTTGTTATATTAACTATTTTGGCCGCAAAATTGCATTGTTCCTATTTTTAGGGTGGCATTGCCGTTGAATGTTGTTGATTTGTCCATTCGTTCATTTGTACTTTGTGGATGGGGCTTACCAGTGACCCGGAGACCTCTATAGCTTCATACGAGCTTGGAAACATATTTGATGATACATCATGTAACATAATCATACTGTGATACAGAAAAAGCAATAACGGCGTCTATTGAGTTCTGCTGTGTATTATTATTTAAACTATGCATATTGTGATAACGAAACTTAAATGGAAGTGAACGGGGCATACTATAAGAGGACAGGAGAAATGGTGTAAAACTATAATGTATTGGTATCCGAAAGATAGAAATGAAACTGAGGTAGATCATTTATAAGATGGGTGGACGACATTAAAGCAGTTGCAGGCAGCACATGGACCAGAACAGTTGAAAATAGGAGCTTATGGAGACAGTTGGACAGGCCTATGTCTATAATAGACAAACAGACAAAAAATGATAATAGTTTATGTACAAAAAATGCATTCTGTCTGAATAAAGGCTTTATTATTTATTATTATTATATTGTAATAAATTTTAAAGGTCAAGTATCTAAGAAGTAAAAATTAGAAAAAAGGTCGAATTATATTCGGTACTTTTTTGCCTGATACGTGCACAACGGCACACATCTAACATTTTATTTATACAGTTGTGAAATTTCGACTACGTATCTCGAAGTGAGTCGCAACATTCTCGTTGCGATGTCCATGTCTGTGGTCGGCGTTGGATTTGCAATTCAGATTAGATATTAGGTAGGGAAGAGTAACTCAGAAAACATAGTCAAGTTCCGTTAACGGGGAAGTTACGAAAGAATCTTATTGAGATATGGGGCTAATTAACATTGTTGCGTTGCCTTTGAGATATTTATTAGACCTTATGTGACAAATTAAAGATTGAATTTAACAGAAATAAGAAATCGATGCGTCGCCCTTGGCGGTTGGAATTGAAAGGGAAAAAGTGTCATGGCGGACGTCGCTCGTTGACAATTTTGACGTTCCGAAATCAAACAACATCTTCTAATTATTATTTGAACAGATTGTTATCATTTGAAATAAACGGACCTCGTTGTTATTGTTGTGTGTTCTATATTTCAATACTAAGTGCAGATCTATTAATAATTTAACGAACAGACTTTGCTCCCTGCTAATATGTATTGTAATACGACGCTTCGTATGAAATACATTGACGAATACCATGCATTATCATCAAAATGTTAAAGAATTTTCTATTCGGTATATATTTATAATATTAATACTTGAGTTAAAAAAATTACAAGCGAAATAAGGTTCAGAATTATTAAATCACGTTCACATTTCAAATTTTACTCAGTTCTTAACCTTTCTGGTTTCACTGTAATTAACTCATTAAGTATCTTTTTAAAATATGAATGCTTAGAGTCTGTCTTCCCGCCATTACTGGCTGTAAGGTCTGTTTTGATTACGAACTGGTGATTTCGACTTTATGGTTCACGAGTGGCGATATTCATGCTCTGATTTCTGTGAGCTCTAGTAACCAGTTAATACCAGATTAGCTGTGAGCTTGTACAACATATGAACAATAAAAAATACGTCATCTTCGATCAATAATAGTACTAGATTAAGGATCAGGAACAAAAATAAGACGCTCCAGTGGCCACGTTTGCAGACACGAAAACATCTTCATTTCTTAGAAAAAAGTTTAATAATGTTAACGACTTCAGTTTATTATAAACCTTAATTCTTAAACATAAAGTTTAATTACCATTGCAAAATATATGTATTTAGGTCCTTTCGTCAGAAAAAGAATATTATGGAATAAATTTAAAATGTCACTTGAACATAAAAAGTCATCAGTACAAAAATATTTATTCTAAAATGATACTTAAAGCCTAATTTATAAGGTTAAAAATATTTGTTTAAAATTTCGTGCTTATTGTATTGTGGAACTAGATGTAGTTCTTGGTATTACATTTCAATGCTCAGAACACAGTAAGTATTGAAAGACATAGAGTTGCAGAATATACATATTTGTTTTAGGTTTGTTTTGTATGGTCGCAACTATTTTTGACCGATTCAAAAAAGTAGTAGATAATATTTTACATTGCCGCTATTACAACAAATAGGTGATAAAAAATAAAATTGAATAAAGTAAAAAAAATATGAAAGGAAACACGAAACATGTTTTCCACGTATTCTTTATACAGAAGTAATTAAAACAATAATGTAGGTTTAATTACCTTTAAACAGATTCAGTTTGTTATAAAGCTGTCTTTTAGAAGTCATTTTTATATGAGCGGTTTCTTTTTTACAAATATAATGTAATCTTATATCAATGAATTTTTCTATAATCAGTTTAATTTAGGCTTATTTTATGGCTGTGTTCGTTTCCCCCAGAAAACAAATCCTTTTCAGCATATACGCTTAAAATATTTACACATACATATAAAGTTTTTTTAATACTTTTTTGCATTGATTTGCCACCACCATTGAACAATTCTAGAATTTTTATAAGAGTTCTATATTTCTTCTCCTCTTTCTTTCGCGACAATATATATCCATTGTGCACAGCGACAAGGGGCTACTAGGAAATCTACAAACAAAAATAACATTATAAAATAACAAAACTACTCTATGCATTCCCTGTCCAAGAATAGGTGATGTTTGTTACAATAGTTGGTGCCTTGTTGCAAACATTGGCCAAACAATTACAATATTCGTAAATTGTGTTTTATTTACAATATAATTGTGTTTATTATTTTATGAAAAACACTTAATAATATAAATTTACCAAAAAAAGATATTCCTTCCAAAACCTTGGTGTTACGGTGGTTTTTTACTCAGTTTTTGAACGCGCAGTGCAGCGTTTTGACGTCTTAGTGTTGGCTATGACTGGACCGTACTAATTTGAAATAAGACCACAAATTTATTTGTGGTCTTATTTTTCGGGCCGTTTTTGAAGCGCTAATCGCGAATCTAGTAGTATTATTGATCGAAGTACGTCATAATTATTTTCCTGAAATCAAATCGACCGACATCAAAAGATTTTTCCCAGATGAGTAAGCTGTACTAGCTATGTGATAGAATAACTTGGAGGCTGTTAATTAAATACACGACGATATCCCATTATTTTATTTTTTATTTTTTATTACTTTGATGGGTGGACGAGCTCACAGCCCACCTGGTGTTAAGTGGTTACTGGAGCCCATAGACATCTACAACGTAAATGCGCCACCCACCTTGAGATATAAGTTCTATGATCTCAGTATAGTTACAACGGCTGTCCCACCCTTCAAACCGAATCGCATTACTGCTTCACGGCAGGATGGTGGTACCTACCTGCGCGGACTCACAAGAGGTCCTACCACCAGTAAAAAAGTATTATAGTACAGAAATAAGATCTATACCTGTATATCTAAATAAGGACGCATTTCTTCATTTTATTTCAATTCGGACACGTGTAATTGTCAAATCTAATATCGTGTTATTAAGTTGATTCGATTACGATTTATTATTATAGCTATTCGTTAAGCCATATATTATGACAATATAACGTGGCAGTAAGGCGTTTCTTGAAACGCCCAGTGGCAGTGTTGGAGATAATCGCCGTTTATTATCTGCCGGCTTTTGTGAAGTACCACTTTTTGTTTTCAGGTTAAAGTTACACAAAAACTACCGAATAGTAACGACGAGAAATTCATCAGAACCCTCACGAAAGGAGACTTCTTCGGAGAGAAGGCCTTACAAGGGTAAGTACATTAAATGATAATTTTTCATGGCGTTGATCATTTTACATTTAACTTATAGATTAAGAATTCTTGGTGATAAATCCGGTTGTTACTACCAGCGTACTTACTATTATTTTTGGCACCAGAGGTGTACTGATATCATATCGTGAACATTACCTTTCACTGATGCATAAAGGCGAAATCCGAATTATATTGTTGAAGATCCGTCCGGTTCTGGTTTGAAGAGCGTCAAACCGGAACACGTGATTGCTTCGCGAAAAAAATAAGCAGGATTCTGCTGTCGGCCTTGCCGGTAACATCTTCCACAAAACCGTTTGTCAAGAGGATAAGGATAAGGCAACCGATATTCGAATACAAATAAAATTGTAATTATATGCCTTAAGATGAACGAGCGTATTTACGTTTAATTTTTCAAATCGGTTCAGTAGTTTCAGAGCCTATTCAATACAAACAAACAAATCTTTCCTCTTTATAGATTTCTTGTGATTTCTTTCCACAATTTTAGACTAAAGTTAAGAATCAATGGAACTGTGTTAAAATTATATTTAATGTTAATAGCATCAGAGAACTGAGAATGAATACAATAATTATTTGAAAAATTAGTTAAATTATTATTAACTCATTTTTGTAGTGACTCGCTAGTTCACTCCGAATCCTGTTTATCGTCTTGTTAAAATTGTTTGTGCGACAAAAAAATACTTTAATTAGAAGAAGCCTTCAACGTCAGAGTTTGATGTTTAGTGACATTACAATGGTCACTTATAAATCAAGTTCGTGATCGTGTAAGAACTAATTGGAAATAATTTCTTTCAACACAATTATTGCTTAAGAACTTTTTGGGTTTTGATAAATTATTTAATAAGCGTATGTGTAAGTGTTAATAACACTAAATGAGGGTACTTACTTGGTTGTATGTACCCTTATTGAAATTCATAAGCATTTATGTTTTATTTCTGTGAAGGATGAGCCGTTATTAGTTAAAGTGCTTAGCATTTCCCATAGACGTCACAATGATAATGCCGCCACTACCTTAAGACATGAGGTCATAGTCTCAATTGTGTACACACTTATATATAAAAATGTGATAAGTTTCTGTGACAATTTAGTAATCATATTTGAAATAATTTGGGCCGATTTCTATATTAATAAAACTCTTATATATTTTAGTCACAGACAGATATGTCACAGTCTTCAAGTTACAGACCAAACTAATGACTCTGAAAGGTTATGTGAATCAAGGGAGCTATTTCGGGTTCATCATTATTATTGGCTCTGCTCATTAAATTCAATTGTCTATACTAATATATAAATCTACAGTGTTTTTTACGGATGTTCCGTTATAACTGCTGAACCATGCATCCGATTGACTTGAAACTTGGTATCCATGTAGAAAATACACGTACTTAATGGATAGGCTATATATTTATATGAGTGTTGAACTCCCTGCATCAGTTGCGGGTGATAAGGATCTTTGTGGGGGTGAGAAATAATAATGTTAATTTTAAATGCCCAGCGAAGCGGACGGGTACAGCTTGTTTATTTATAAAACTAAACTAAACTCGTTTATTTATCATTCGGCGTTACAGGGACGACCTCCGAACGGCGAATATCGTCTGTGACTCACCAGACGGCACGACTTGTCTCGTTATAGACAGGGAAACATTCAATCAGCTGATATCCACACTGGACGAGATCCGAACCAAGTACAAGGATCTGGGTGATGACAGACAACGGTAAGCGTTAAAGCGTTTATTTATTTATTTAATATAATGTACACACAGCAGTTAGAAAAAACACGACAATAGGAATAAAGAATACAAGGGCACTACTTATTTCATGTTGAAATCTCTTCCGGTAGGCTCGCAGAAGGAAAGAAGAATTAGGAACACAAACCTAGTGCATACAGTAAACTTTACATATAATAATATATACGTATTACAATATACAAAACAATATATAATATATACATACAAATAAACACACACATACATATACTTACTTTATATTATAATACATTATACAAATATATATACTTTTATTTAATAGCGTTTATTTCTATCTACAGTTAGTACGTTGCATAATCATTCAACGTTTTCGTATCTATAATAGCCATCCTTTCGTTCTGGTTTTGCATTTATTGAAGGGTGTAGCAAAGTCAGTGTTTTTTCATGTTCGATCTATTTGCCTTTATTAAAAAGGTTTTCTATGCGAGTTAATATTGGGAAAAGCTAATATTGATTTATGCTACTATTCATAGTACTATATTAACTACTTCTATATTATATGTAGGTGTTAAATTCATTATTTATTTTTCGACAATTTGTTGCAATAACCTGGGATAGTGCAGTCGCATATGGTTGCGCTTTGAATACAACTTCATCTTATGGTGAATAAGGCATTCATGTCGTCATGTCGTTTAATTTACCATTGGCTCTAATAGCAACTTATTATTGGGTGGAACGAAAGTTAGTCTGCCCTTCTGCGATAATTACAAAAAAAACGACCTAACTAGTACAGTTTATTGAACAAAAAATTAGGCTATAAAGAAAAGAAGTTTAACTTAAGCGAAGAATAGTCAAAATATTGCAAAAGTTTACATTCGATTAATTCCGTTTTGAGTCACCTCGATTCGATATCTTATATCTGCTATATATTACTTACCTTCTTTGACTATTTCACTAAATTGATAAGGTACACTAAATTGGATCATAATTTTTTTAAATGTCATTAAAGTGCCGTGTAGATTTTGTTATTAATAAATGATCTTTGTTAATGCTACTGAACTTGGAACTTTGATGGTAAGTATACGATTAGAATATTTTTTTGTATTCATGAAAAAACTTATGGACGTTATGTTTTTTTGTACTCTCACTCTGTATACTCAATTTTATGGTATAAAATACTGTAATCGTATCGAACTATGCGACAAAGCCTGCTGCTTTCCGGTTTAGAAGGTGATCAAACTGTATGTATATCATACAAATTTGGTATCTTCGATCTCAAATGTTGTCATGGATGGGAAATTCACGATGCGATGCTTATGAGCTCCGATGCTTTCTTAACGTGAACTCAATATAACAGAAAAAAAAAGAATCGAAAAAGTGTAATAATACTTGTCAGTTTACAAACATTAAATTATCTGCATAGGACAAATAAATATAATATTCACGGCATCGTAAAAATATTTAAAAATACCACCACATAATTTCAAATAGATGTAAAATAATTTCCTCGAGCTTTCTATAAAATCAATGTCAAATTTTATTGTTAAGTGCAAGTTTGTAGCTATTACCTGTAATTAATTTTTCTCGTGAACGAAGAAAATTCTTCAACAACCACACGACGATAACAATTAGCGTGTTTCCCGCGGTTTTGTTACGTGTATCGTGAAGGTTGAATAGCACAATGGATCCGTAATACAAAGATCAATTAATAAAGCAGCGACACGGCTCACGAGCTGATTGGGCATATCGTTATTTTTTTGTTAGAACATTGCAGGACTTACAATCCGGTACTTGTTTTAGACAAATTTTAAAGCAAATTTACGGGGGAATTTTAAAAACGGAATTGTATATTTTTTGTTTGTTGTTTTTGCGATGGAATATTTTTGTTTTCACACAAAATATTTAGATTTGTGAGTTACATCAGAAATTAATTTATGATTGAATATCATAACTTCTCCGATTATTTTCTGAGGTTCTGCGGGTAGTTCTAATTGTGTGTGTTATTTTTTATTTACAGATTGAACGAAGAATTCGCCAACCTGCGTCTCTCGGATCTCCGCATTATCGCTACATTGGGTATCGGAGGCTTCGGTCGAGTGGAATTAGTGCAAATCCAAGGCGATTCGAGTCGCTCCTTCGCCTTAAAGCAGATGAAGAAGGCCCAGATCGTTGAGACGAGACAACAACAACACATAATGTCCGAAAAGGAGATAATGTCCGAAATGAACTGCGAATTCATAGTGAAGCTATACAAGACTTTCAAAGATCGCAAGTACTTGTACATGTTGATGGAGACTTGCCTCGGTGGAGAGCTATGGACCATTTTAAGAGATCGAGGTCAGTATAACAAATTTTCAATGCCATTCTTATCTAGTATTTTTTTTATTGCTTAGATGGGTGGACGAGCTCACAGCCCACCTGGTGTTAAGTGGTTACTGGAGCCCATAGACATCCACAACGTAAACCGCGCCACCCACGCATAAAGTTTCAAGTATAGTTACAACGGCTGCCCTACCCTTCAAACCGAAACGCATTACTGCTTCACGGCAGAAATAAGCAGGGTGGTGGTACCTACCCGCGCGGACTCACAAGAGGTCCTACCACCAGTAATTACGCAAATTATAATTATGCGGGTTTGATTTTTATTACACGATGTTATTCCTTCACCGTGGAAGTCAAACGTGAACATTTGTTGAGTACGTATTTCATTAAAAAAATTGGTACCCGCCTGACGTAACGTAGTAACCTATTTTAATCGATTGACTGAGCAGGGCAGTAATTAGCGCACCCGACTGGCTTGACCAAGGATCGTGGGTTCGATTCCCACATAAGGCAAATGTTCGTGTGATGAACAAACTTGTCTGCTTTTTGCCTGGGTGTTTCATATACATATATTTATTTAAACGTATATAAGTATGTATGCCACTGGTTTCCATAGTATCATCTTAGTTTGAAGCCAAATGACCGTATGCGAGACTTGAACTTAACTATTATAATTATTTTAATAACTGTCATTAAGGCTTTACAATATCATTACGTATGTTCTTAGGACAATTTGACGACGCAACGACAAGATTCTACACGGCCTGTGTAGTTGAGGCCTTCCACTATCTACATTCTAGAAATATAATTTACAGGTAACAACAGTTCGTTTAAGAACTATTTAAAATTATACTTTTAAAATTTGTGAAAAGAGTCTTAGGTTGTTGGCATTATTATTTTTTTGGTTAATTTTGATCTCAATGAACAATCACAATGAACTTGGGAAGGCAAAGGGAACTTAGCCCATACAGCCTTGTCTATTCTGTATCTTCTTAAGGTTGTTGACAGCGGCTCGTTATCCGGTGGTGGATTCCGCAAAGCACTGCTCTTGCTAACTAGTAGCCAGTTTTTTTTATTGCTTAGATGGGTGGACGAGCTGACAGCCCACCTGGTGTTAAGTGGTGGCTGGAGCCCACAGACATCTACAACGTAAATGCTGCCACCTACCTTGAGATATGAGTTCTAAGTCTCAGTATAGTTACAACGGCTGCCCCACCCTTCAAACCGAAACGCATTACTGCTTCACGGTAGAAATAGGCGGGGTGGTGCTACCTAACCGTGCGGACTCACAATAAGTCCTACCACCAGTAATTACGCAAATTAAAATTAGTATTAACGACTTATCTCAGGTTGAACCCGTGAACTCACCACCCAGGCTCTGGGTGTAGCTGAAATAGCTTCTTAGGCTGACCTTGATAATGTTTGTGAACGCCACCGATCATTCACTGTCAGATTGGTCGGATTTACGCTTGCTTTTGTAGGCCATAAATAGCTTTGTGTCGAAGATGATTTTTGATTTATCAAAAGGCGTAAGGGCCGTTGGCTTAGATAAATTTAGCTATCCATCTTAACTGAATCGACGGTTGTTTCACTACGCGCGTTGTACGAAGTCCGTGTAGTGGGCGTGACGCGTTCTACGCGTTACTTCGCTACAACGCGAGTTCAGATAACGCGATATCATGACCCAACACCGCGTTGTCTTCACGTACCTTTTAATAGCTTCTAAGTAATTTAATATGCAATTTCGAAAAGGGCACATCTCTGAAAATGTAAAATGTTCAGGAAATAAAAAAAAACTGATTATTTTCTAAAGCAGTGTAAAATTTAAAATGTTAACTTTTGAGATATATTTTAGTGTTAATTAACAATTACTGGAATTATTATAAAATGGGTATAGGGTGGTAGGTAAGCCTCAAAACTACATGTATATGAAAAAACGTATTTGACAAAATATGCGACATGTGCCCTTTTCGAAATTGCATATTTAATTAGAATGTAATATATTTTTTTTTAGGGATCTCAAACCAGAGAATCTACTGCTAGACTCGAAAGGTTACGTGAAACTGGTCGACTTCGGTTTCTCAAAGAAGCTGCAGGCGAGCCGTAAGACCTGGACGTTCTGCGGCACGCCAGAGTACGTCGCGCCCGAGGTCATCATGAACCGGGGCCACGATATCAGTGCGGACTATTGGTCTTTAGGTAAGATTTATAATCAACCTTTTTTTTATTGCTTAGATGGGTGGACGAGCTCACAGCCAACCTGGTGTTAAGAAGTTACTGGAGTCCATAGACATCCACCACGTAAATGCGCCACCCACCTTGAGATTTGAGCTCTAAGGTCTCAGTATAGATACAACGGCTGCCTCACCCTTCAAACCAAAACGCATTGCTGCTTCACGGTAGAAATAGGTGGGGTGGTGGTACCTACCCGTGCGGACTCACATGAGGTCCTACCACCAGTAAAAACCTTCTTCCAAAATCTAGAGTTATATCTGGTCTTTAGAATTTTATCAAAACTTTTTTTTTTCAAATGCACTCAAAATTTTATGATCTGGTTTTTACGTCGTAACGATTCTGAGTCGACAACCTTTTCAAGCTTTATATTCGTTTTATTGTTTACCGATGCAAATGAAGAGATACGCTTAAATGCTTTTATATATTTGATGGGTCCAATAACCTACAGACATCAGTTTTCCGACACTAACGATACGAACGATAAAGTCAAAATCGCGCATTTGTTTCGAACAGCGCCAACCCTGGAAGGCAATTAAAATTATATATAACATACTAGCCGTACTCGCCCGCTTCGCTGGACATTTAAAATTAACATTATTATTTATTGTCATTATTATTAGGGAGTCCAACACTCATATAAATATTAGCCTATCCATTAAGTACATGTATTTTCTACATGGATACCAAGTTTCAAGTCAATCGGATGCATGGTTCAGTAGTTATAACGGAACATCCGTAAAAATCACTGTAGATTTATATATTAGTACTAGATGACCCGACAGACTTCGTAGTGCCTCAATCGGTAAATAAAAGACCTAAACTTTTGTATAAAATAAACTTAAAACAAACAAAAGGAATCCGTCGGATGGGAGACACATCAAAGGAAAAACGAAATTGTTATTTTTATTTAATTCCGAGCATTTTCATATGTCTCTACCTTTTAAATGTTCTCTGGACTTCCACAAATAATTCAAGACCAAAATTAGCCAAATCGGTCCAGCCGTTCTCGAGTTTTAGTGAGACTAACGAACAGCAATTCATTTTTATATATCGACACTTAAAAAGCAAACGTGACTAAGCGACAATAACTGCTTTATACATAAATGATAGGCAATAACCATATTCGATGCGCCAAAAAAATATATTTCTAGGTCTATTAAAATCATTTCAATCCTACAGCTAGATTCGTTAAAATAGAATTTTTTTCAGGTATTTCAACTTTAAATTAGTCTACTGTAAAGTTCACTATCGCTTAGTCACGTTTGCCTTTCAAGCGTCGATATATAGACAGCCAAAATGTTTTCAAAGTAACCACGTTTTACCAGGTGTTCTCATGTTCGAACTGCTGACCGGGTCGCCGCCCTTCACGGGCTCGGATCCTATGAAGACGTACAACAAAATCCTGAAGGGCATCGATGCGGTCGAGTTCCCGCGCTGCATCACGCGCAACGCCGCTAATCTGATCAAGAAACTCTGCCGCGACAACCCTGCGGAGCGGCTCGGCTATCAACGAGGCGGCATAACTGAGATACAGAAGCACAAGTAAGACGAAATACTCAAACTGTCGTAGGGGTAGCTCGTTTTGAAAATCGTAGTTATTTATAGTTGTAGTAGAGAATCGTTTTTTTTAGAACGTAGTTTGAATTGACACACCGAGAAGATTTGTTGGTTTGTCGTGTATATCTTTTACACGATTTTTATTTAGCTTGCATTACTAAGTTTCTTGTCCGATCTTCTCAGATTCTAGATTTAGTATTGCTCTTGCTAGGGTCAGTGTTAATAAATTTTCTCAGGTTGAACCCGTGAACTCACCTATCCATCCGAGCGTGATAGACAGTAATAGACAGGGTGATGATACATATCCGTATGGGCTTACAACACGCCTCACGCGTGCCGTCTTTTTCTCATCTCATTTCATTCTAGATTCACCGAGCTAGTAGGTGAGCTAACGGGGCTCAAACCGGGAGTCTCGCTAACACTGGCCCTATCAAGAGCCGTGTTTCCAGAATATACCACCGAATCGGAAACGCGACCCACTGAGAAGATCCGGCGAGAAACTCAGGCTCGCATGCCAAGATTCTGGACAAACTGTATATATTTATCAGTATTTTGTTAATATTTGGATTTCCTATTTTCAGATGGTTCGATGGCTTTAACTGGGAAGGCCTAGCGCAACGTTCTCTAGAGCCACCTATTGTACCGACCGTAAATTCGGCCATAGACACGCACAACTTCGACCAATACCCGGCAGATGCAGACGAACCTCCCCCCGACGATCTCTCCGGTTGGGATGCGAACTTTTAATTCGGCCGTACTATATGTGTGCAAAGGTGACAAATATTGACACGGCTGTATTGCTGTATGACCGCGTTCGAAATATGCTGCGTCTCTTTCTGTTCTCAAAGACATGATCGAGACGTAATGTAGATTTTTACATAACGCGAGCCTAGTACGACTTGTTAACGTTATACGTTTTTTTTATTTTATTTAAAATCGATTAATTTGACAATATCTCACTTGTGTAGTTAGAAATCATTAAAATATGCCATTAGTTAATCTCTTGCCAGTTGTTATTCAACTGATATATGGAATAGTATTGTTTATCGGTGTGATTCGATGACATCGGCCATTTCTATTACACATTTAATGAATATGGTTAATGTTTTTTTTAGTAATCGTTTATTTTTAATGTTGATGAATTTTTTGAAAATTTTCACTCTCTTAATGTGAAAATTGCAAATTATAGAATTTATATGTAAAATGTGTTTGTTATTACTAAACGTATTTAGTTTTATATTGTATCGTTTTTTTTTCATGGTTCGACAATGTTGCCCAAAGCTATCTAGAAAATAAAAAAAAATATTTTATAATATTTCTTTTAAAAATAATTATGACATACATACTATAATGACTGAAATAAAAATATTGAACTAATCAAACAAAAAATTATGGAATAGCGCTCAAAATATTTGACTAACAAAATGTAAATGTTTGGAAATACATGGAGATACGATTTAATTTTAGTTTTACTTCCCTTTATTTACTACAATATTTTATTGGACCTTATTACTTATATTAATTATGTATAAAATGTAATAGTACAGAAATGTAAAATATTTCTTACGTTTTCAAGTTGTTTTGCGAAACTCCTTTTTAGCTAACTAAAATTTTTTATATCAGTACTTATAGTTCTAATTAGATATAAAACTACAAACTTTACTCCATTAGCTCTGTTTTGTATAGTCCAAATATTTACACTATCAAAAAACGAATACAGATAACACACAAATTTTTGGCGGGAACGCGTGGAGCATAGTTGTGTGAATTGTTTTTATATGTGTAAATTAATAACGGTAGCTTATTAACTGCTTAGCATCTGTGAAAGTTCATAAAGTATGGGAAAATGAAACGAAACCTCCGGACGTACCTAGCTTCTTGAGTACTTCGAAAAAAATCACTGAAAAAGGCTCTGTATATACTCATCATTTTACTAAGGCTTTGTTTCATCCCATCTCATGTCGTTTCATTTAAGTTCGTCCCGTTTGATTAAAGTCTCAAATCAATCAACATCATAATCTTATTTCGCTTCATATCATTTTTCAAATGAATATAAAAGAAAATGTAAGACTTGGCTTAAAGGTACTGTTACCGGGCTTTAAAAAAATAATATGGATTTCACATAATTAAAAAAACATATTTAGAGCGCTATTCTTACAGATTAGAGAATGATTAAAATCAATTAAATTTAGAGAATAATTTTGCTGGTACTTTAGAATTTCTAGATAAAACACTTTTTGTTAAAGCGAGTAAGTAAAAATGTAAAAATGTAGACATGTTCTAATTACCTTTTTTTTTTTAACGCTGGGGAATCCATTTACGGATACCCGGTCGAGGGGGATGTTCTAATTACCTACCTATGCAAGTTTAGTTCGTCATGATCTAAAGTTCAATGTTTCAAAAGTTTTCAAAACATGACGTAAAATTTAAGACTTTTCATTTCAAATTGTTACAGTCAATTTTAATTGTAAGTCTCTCGTATAGGTACTAGCATTGTAAATATCTTCGTTGTTATAATAATATATGAAATGAATGTTACGTAGATTCATTTGGGTAATGCAATGTAATAATTTACGACGTGTATGCAATTAATTTGTGTTTTTTAAAATAAATATATTAATAATTATTGTATTAATTATATAAGAGACGTTATTTTTGTAACCGTTTAGTGTTAAATATTAATATTTTAATGAATTTGTGAAATATAAAAAAAATAATATACATACATTATTTCAATTGTAGTAAGTTATTTTACATCTATATCCTTATGAACAAAGTAAGCACAAGAGGTAATTTGACATGTCGCAAATGTAAACTTGGCTTGACCGTTTCAATTACGTCTTATCAGCCAACTTTCTGCTGTGGTTTTTCGAAAAATGCCCCGGTAAACCTCATCCCAACGTAATTGGGGGTCAAATAATATTTGAATTGGAAAGATCTGCATCCAGTGCAAGTAAGTTTTTATTGCTTAAACAGTTAAACCCTGGTAAATCAATTACACAAATACCCACAAAATCCACCTTAAGACATGCGTTCTAAGACCCAGTTTTACTGTACAACAACTGCAACAGTACCCTTCAAACCAAAATGCTTTACGGCAAAAATAGGGCTCACAAGATGCATTACCATAAGCACCACCAATATTGCACCACTAGTATAATATACACTGGATCAGTCGACCACAGAATGTCGTGACCTTTGCTGAAATCACCAATATAGTTTCCTCGTTAATTCGTTCTGTTCAATGCTAAAGGTCGTGACCCCATCTATCACTTTCTTTGATTGTAAGCTTGAGCCTTGGCAGCATGGAAAGCTTCTGAGACTGAAAATTCGACATTGACCCTGACCTCGTGTGCATGTGGTATCCTGTCTTTTGCATTTCTCCTGTTATATTGATAGCCACCATATTTTTTCCTAATACGGGAATCCGGTCTATCTACTGGCTGTGACAACGCCAAAAGCAGCGTGAGATATCAACAAAAACATTTTATTATAAAATTAGCAGAAAAATAAGGATCATCGTAACGTTTACCTACCGCTTAGTAGGTTATCCCCTAATTTATTATCGCAGATTTCGTACTATAAAATCTTCAGAAGTAAAACTAAAACAAATTATACTGCAACACTATACTGCGGTGACTTTGTATTTATCGGTGCGTTAACTTGGCAATAATATTAGTTAAACTGAGAATTAAGGAACTTCATTTCAAATTTCATTCAACGTAGCAAAGTTCAGATCCCGTAACCGCTGGATGTTTGGTTTAAAATAGAAGCTTATGAGCAATCCGTACCAATTTTACTATAAAATTCAGACTTAGAATTCATGTCATCCACCAATCTATGAAAGAAAAACAGAAGCTTGCAGCGTCACAATTGTGTCCGTGGACAACATTTTTAGCATTACTGTATGCATTTTGCATATGACACGACATCGCAACGTTCTGTCTCTTTAGATTCAGTTTAAATTTTGTTAATTATGGCTTCCTCCTCCTCGCGTCGTTTTCCTCATTACTGAGGGTCCTGATTCCCCCGCTGCATCAGTTTCTCCCGTACTCCCGATTTCCCTCCATCTGCTGCGATCCTTAGTTTTATGAAGGGCATTGTGATGGCAAGTTGATGTTCAGAGAAGATCGTATTAGGTCCGACCATCTCGTGGGACTGCGTCCTCTGGGACGTTTGTCATCTACCTTGCCTGTCACCATCAGCTGTTCGAAATTGTGACCCTCTTTACAATCAATATGTCCGAAGAATTCCAGCACCTTACGAAGGCATATAGTGGCATAGGCATAATTATGGTAATAATTACTTTTAACATTCGACCGGTTGACAAAAGAACCTTCATGGTTCTTCCTTGGATTCGGTGCACAATATGCAAGCGAGATGGAAATTGCGGCGCGGCTTCGAGTTGAGTGAGTCATTGGATAGACGTAAATTAGTCTGCTATTGTATTATAATGAAATACAATAATGACTGCATATGTTTATTAAATACGCGTACACAAATCTGGTTAATTTATCAAGAGCAGAGAGTTTGAAAACTTATTAGTTAATCTGGGTAGAAGAGTATAACGATAGTAATAGTAATAGTATACTCTTCTAATTAAAATAAGGTATAATGAGAGACGCAATTTTGAATTTGTATGCTGACTTTTTTACAAGCCCAAGCGTGCTAAATTTCTCGCCAGATCTCCTCTAGTAAGCTTATGGTTTGTACCAAAGGTCAACTACATCCTTAGTCCGGAATTCCGCGCGGGAGTCGCTATCGCCAACTTGTCCTGCTCAACTCGCTCGTACAATAAAGCTGTGACACAGTTATTGCAAATATGGAGCATTTTACAAACTATTGTACAGCAGACGTTTATTAGTTCCTTATGGAGAATGAATTCCTCAAAAAATAAAAACATAACGTAGGCTTGTAACTATACCTGAGACCTTAGAACTTATATCTCAAGGTGGGTGGCGCATTTACGTTCTGGATGTCTATGGGCTCCAGTAACCATTTAACACCAGGTGGGCTGTGACCTCGTCCACCCGTCTAAGCAAAAAAAAAGGCGAAATTTATGTTTTAAGATAGAATGAATATGAAATAGCTTTTGCAAATGTTCGTTTGAATCCATTACTATACATACGTATTACATTTTCAATTGCAGCTTACATTTATCGTGATGCTACTCAAAATGTTTGTAAGTTTATAGGCGTGGGTACTAATAATATTATCGAGAGTACAACTTGAGCGAATATTTTGCGATAAGCGAACAAAACACTATAAACTGAAAAATGGTTTAACAATGTATTTAAGCTATTTTCGTAAATAATAAATAATAATAATCCATAAATCAGAGCCATAGAATGTCAATAGTCGAGGGTCGGACCCCTTCGTAACCGCACCGAATTATTCTATTATGAACAGGAATTTAGTAATCGGCGCGCGAAAACGCTTAGCTTCCTCCACTCACGGTAAATGCAACAGTGAGATGAGAAGCGTATGTAAGGTAATCTATGGTATTAAGGGTATATTTACTATCTAACCATCCATTTCAACTTAACGTAAGTTTGGATATTACTATATTTCCTCATAGAGGGCAAGCGCGCCGTGGGCAGAATACCAGCCAGATGGTCAGATCTAGCAAGAGAAGCACTTGGTGGTAGTCTGTACCATGCGGTCCATGCCACCCATGATCGAACGTAGTGGAAGAACGTCACATGTAGTCGCGATCCGCAGTAGCGAGGGAACAATATAGAAGAGATATTTCCTCAATATATAATTTTTTTTTATTGCTTTGATGGGTGGACGAGCTCACAGCCCACCTGGTATTAAGTGGTTACTGGAGCCCATGAAGGACATCTACAACGTAAATGCGCCACCCACTTTGATGTGTGCGTCAAATACATGGTATGTAGTGTGTGTAATGTTTTCTTTGGGGATTTAATGTATCTTTTATGCATTATTTTAAAAAAATATTAGCATTGTGCACTTATTCTCTATATCCTCTATAAGTCTGGAAAATTTCATACTCCTCCGTCCGCGCAATTTTCGTAAAAAGGGATACAAAGTTTTTACTTCACGTATTAATATAGATATATATAGATATTGCTTTATAAACACTAAGTTACAACTAGATGAGAGCAGTAAAAAGGTTAGGTAAGAATAATAAAAATTCATTCTGTCTGAAAGACCAATTTGATTTCGATCATCTTCCGTTTGAGTTACGTCTTTGAGTTTTATTCATAAAGTATTCGATTGGACATGAATTCAACATTCAAAGAAATTTCAGCAGTTATATATCTATACAAAAATTATTATGGTTCCAATATTATCAGTCATTTCAATATCAAAAGAATTTTCAAAATTTCTTCGTATTAACAATTTATATTATTATATTATTATTATATTAAATATAGTTATTTATTGAGCAATTTAAAAGGTAATTGTCAATACAATACACTTTTAAAATGCTGCGTCATCGGTAGACTCATTATATAACTTTTTTTAATTCTTCTGACCTTTTTTTCTTCAAGGTTGTTCGTAATAAAATTATCCTCTGGGATCTGAGAGCAATTGAATTTGACAGTGCCCTCTTTAATTTTCCAGATAATTCCCAGGTTGACAATTCAATTTAAAGAAGAGCTGAATTATGTCATTAAATTTTTATTAAAAAAACAATCATCACACGTAATCTTCATCAATCAAGTGCTTTTCTTAATATTTCATGGAATTGAGTGAATAAGAAAAGAAAAAGAAAAAACATCATTTTGAAACTCAATAGCACTTTCTCTCTCCAACATCAACAGTGACACCAGTAACTTGACTGTTTCTTTGATAAAATCTTCAAGATCATTGTTATTGGGTAACCCAAGACATAGACGCAGCCTACTGAGTTTCTCGCCGGATCTTCGCAGTGAATCGTGATTGCGACCCAATGGTATATTTTCAGAAGCACTCCTCTTGCTAGGGCCGGTGTTAGAAAAATTTCTCAAGTTGAGCCCGTGATCCCACAGAGCCATCCGCCACAAGCTGGAGTAGCTCCATAGCGAGTAGGCAGGGAATAAAAATACCCAATCCACCACGAATACTTACTGTAGTAGGTAGCGAGATCAATAATTATCACATAAAGCATCCATTCTACTGTCTTTAAACTAGTCTTTGTAGTTAAATTTATTGTTGTTTGTAGGTAATTTATCCAAAAATAATGTAAACAGTCATGGATAAGTAATATCCTAATCTCATACCAGTCACATTGTAAAAGTTGGTTAAACACACAGGTCTCTTGCAAGTCACATTAACCGCTCTACATGGTTTAACTGCGAACCACCGTAAATAATTCGTGACGAGAGTAGAGTCGTGCGCTTTACCTTTCATCAAAATCTACAAAAGGGTTTCTCGTCAGAAACAGGAAAGTTTATAAAAG